GGGGGGAGACAGAGAGACAGAGAGCAAGAGAGAGAGCACCATCAGCAAATAGACCTGGAAGAGAAAACTAGCAATCATACTCTAGGTTGGAAAACAGAGGATCTGCCTTCTAATAAACTAACCTATTAGGAGGAAAGGTCAGTTGCTTACTTAGAGTGAAGGAAGATGTTCCCCCAAGGAAACCAGCAGCAAAATACAAAGATAGACAACAGGGAGAGAAGATGCTCTTATTTGTCTCCACGTGGCAATCCTGTGAGAGGTGCTACTTCGAAATTGCAGGCTTGGGCACTCTGCTGGTTTCCCTGGTTTCAGGCTTCTGCGGGTACTCAGCATCACAGCAATGTGCCTCCTGCCCAGCCATTAGAAAGGAAAGCTAATTAACAAATACTGGATTTGTTCCACTCTTAGCAAAGGGTACAGGCTTATCCTGAATGAGCAAGTCTTTCCGAATATGAAGCCCCCACATCGTTACAAACAAGGTTGATTAGAACTTTCTATAATATATTCCCCTCAGAAAACCTATGAGACTGGTATTATGTGCCTTGCTGAAAAAAACTAAGGCTCAGAGACAGTGATAAACTTGCCCAGAGTCAGCCAGCAACTGAGTGCCCAAGTCAACCATCTATGTAAGCTCTTGTCCACTTCACTAAGCTAGGGCTCATGATCTCCACATTTCCATGGATGCACCATTTTATTCTGGAGGGTAGATCCCAGCAACCCAGAAGAACACAGGAATTTTGTTTCTGCCTATTTCAAGGTTCAGAAGTGGCTTGGTATAAATGCCTTCCAGTTTCTGTTTGCTAGATCCCTAATTTCCAAAGTGGAAACATGTATTTAAGTGAAACACAAAGCATATAAAGCTTTATATCAAGAGTACATATTATGGTGGCCAGAATTGGTGTTCAAAAATTATCAGGCTCAAGATGTCCATCGACAGATGAATGGATAAAGAAGATGTGGTATATATATACAATTTAATATTATGCAGCCATCAAAAGGAATGAGATCTTGCCATTTGCAACAACGTGGATGGAACTGGAGGGTGTTATGCTGAGTGAAATAAGTCAATCAGAGAAAGACATGTATCATATGACCTCACTGATATGAGGAATTCTTAATCTCAGGAAACAAACTGAGGGTTGCTGGAGTGATGGGGGTGGTGGGATGGATGGGGTGGCTGGGTGATAGACATTGGGGAGAGTATGTGCTATGGTGAGCACTGTGAATTGTACAAGACTGATGAATCACAGATCTGTACCTCTGAAACAAATAATGCAATCTATGTTAAGAAAAAAAAAAAGAAGATAGCAGGAGGGGAAGAATGAAGGGGGGGAATTGGAGGGGGAGATAAACCATGAGAGACAATGGACTCTGAAAAACAAACTGAGGGTTCTAGAGGGGAGGGGATGGGTTAGCCTGGTGATGGGTATTAAAGAGGGCACGTTCTGCATGGAGCACTGGGTGTTATGCACAAACGATGAATCATGGAACACTACATCAAAAACTAATGATGTAATGTATGGTGATTAACATAACAATAAAAAAATTTAAGGAGAAAAAAAAATTAGCAGGCTCAGGGTGCCTGGGTGGCTCAGTTGGTTAAGTGTCCAACTCTTGATTTTGGCTCACATCATGATCTCAGGGTTGTGGAATTGAGCCCTGTGTCGGGCTCTGCACTCAGCAGGAAGTCTGCTTGAGATTCTCTCTCTCCCTCTCCCCCAATTCATGCTCTCTCCCTCCCTCTCTCTCTCTTTCTCAAATAAATAAATCTTTTTTAAAAATCAGCAGGCTCATGGTATGATGCTCTGTCGACATTTTAAATGGCTGCACATAGAACTAGCCTAACATAAGCTTACTACCTTTTTTAAAAATGTTGGTAAGTAGAATGTAGTTCTGAAGCTTTTTTCCTTCTTTTTTACTGTGATTCCCCATTTGTCACTTTGCCCAAGAACCACTGGGTATAAAAGAACTGTGAAATCTATTATCTCCAAAGAGATTAACTTTAGGACTCCTCCTATTGAGGAACCCTGAGTAGTTCTGAATTACTTCACAAGAGTAATACATGTGGAAGAGTCTAATAATACGTGCTAAATTAAAATCCCAGAGGAGTTCAGCCTTAACTGTCAAGAAAGCAGTATAGCAGCAGGCCTGGGAGATGAGGTCATTGAGGGTCTGCCTCTCCGAACCTGATTATTTTTGATGAAGAGTTTTCATTTTATTTTTGCAAAAAAAAAAAAAAAGCTTCTCATACAAGTAATAATAACAATAATTATTAGAATAATAATTAAACATGGGGACACCTGGGTGGCTTAGTCAGTTAAGTGTCTGCCTTCAGTTCAGGTCATGATCCCAGGGTCCTAGGATCAAGCCCCATGTAGGGGTTCCTGCTTAATGGGGAGTCTGCTTCTCCCTCTCCCTCTGCTCCTCTCCCCTGCTCATGCTGTCTCTCATGCTCTCTCTCTCAAATAAAGTCTTAAGAAAAAAAAGAATAATAATTAAACATGGTATTACCCCAAAGCCCTAAATCTAAGTTCCTTTCCCATCTTCAATTTTCAATAGAAGAACAAACACTGATATGTTTTTTGGTTGGGAAATCATGCTCCTATGCAATATTTTTACTCCATTTTAAGTTTCTTCAGGCCTGCCTCTGTTATTGTAACACCCACTGCTATAACAAAACAAAATGTTCACATTTTCAGTAGTGTAGTACAGTTGAAGTGCGCTGTCATTTCATATGAAGGTTCAGGTCTTTGTGGTTAACTATCAACTTGCCTCCATGTAGGGATGCCAGGGGCCCAAGTTCTTGCTGTCTCATGGCCTGGCCATCCTCTAGGGCCCTGTTTTTTTTTTTTTTTTTTTTTTTTTTTTTGGCAGAGAGGGAAAGAGAGGACATAAAAGGAATGCCTTAGCCTGGCAGGGATGCACCTCATTTCCACTGTAACCCATGAGCTATCTCTAGCCACATGCACCACCTCTTTGCAGTGGGAACTGGAAATGTAATTCCCAACCGGGCAGCCATTTCCCTAAGACCCTGCTCTACCATGGAAGAGGGAGGAAAAATTCGAGTGCACACTTGACCATCTCAGCCACAAAGCAAGAGCCCATGAGTTCTACAGTTGTGCTACTCACAGAGAAGGTTTTAACATATCAAATATTTATCATCGCAAACCCTTCCTTGGGCTCTTTATCCCATTACCTCTGATAGCCTTTCCTGGGGACATGACTTCCTCAGGGAGGCCTGCCGTGCCCCATGGGCAGCTATCTTATGACCCCAAATAATTAGTTTCACACTGAATAATTTAATTTCCTTATTTTACTTCATCTTCCTAATTAGGCTGTTGCTCTGCAACAGCAATGAATTTACCTGTCTCATTCATCACTATATCCTTAGTGCCTAACACTGTCCTGGCATCTTACAAATACTCAATAAATATTTGAGGAAAGACGAGAAGACAGGAGAAAGAAAGAAAGGAAAAAGGAAGAGGGGGACAGGGCTGGTTGGCTCTGGAGGGAGCTCAGTCTGGCTACTTGTAATCTGCATCATAATGGGATTTCAAGAGTGTTACCAAGAAAGGGCCAGTCACATTTCAGGGACAAGGACATCTACTTTTTGGAAAAATAACTGTGCATACTCACATAAGCCTTCTTGACAACCTCTGATAACAACTGAAGGAAACTAAAGATTTTCTGCCTTTAGCTCCTTGCCGGGGAGGAAAAATTTACCTCTATCCTTCAAGATTCTTTTAGTTGGTCTAAGAATTAAACTGACATAAGACAGATTAACAGGAAAAAATCAAATTCAATTGTATATGTATGGGGAATCTACATAGATATGAGTTCCAAAAGCAGTCAGGCAAAATGAGGTATATATGTCATCCTGAACTAAGGAGAAGAGGGTAGGAGTCTGGAACTTCAAAGGAAAGGAAAAAATTCACAGGAAGATAAAAAAAAAAAAAATGTTTGGTAAACAAATGTTTCCTGGGCCATACAGAATCAATGGGACATAGGAAGTAATTGTAATAATCAAACTTTGCTAAATCCTTCTGTGCTACCACCCCTACTTCTTGTTATACTGTAGTTATCTATGGTGATTGCTCCTTTCCTGGAGGAGGTCCTCTATCTAAATTCTTGTAGGCAGTTAGAGGGAAGGTCAAATTTTCTTCCTGAGTCTTTTGGGCCTTGATTCCTTTCAGCTCGAAATAATCTGCATGCCAAAGTGGCACATCTTGAGGTGGCCTGCCCTTAGCCCCTACATTCCAAATGCTTCTAAATGCAGTGGAATACTACTCAACATCAAAAAGGAACAAATTATTAATACATGCTACAACATAATAAATCTCAAAATCATCATGCTAAGTAAAAAAGAGACAAAAGATAGTACATACTGTATCATCCATGTATATAAAATTCTAGGAAATGCAAACTAATTAATAGTAACAGAAAGCAGATAAACAGTTGTCTCAGCACATGGGTAATATGAGATGGGATGAGGGTGTGTAGGATTACAAAGAGCATGGAAAAAACTTTGGGGGGTGATGGGTATGTTTTCCTAGTTGTGGTCATGGTTTCCTGTGTGTGTACCTATGTCAAAACTTTTCAAACTATACACTTCAAATATGTGGGATTTATTATATATCAATCATACCTCAATAAAGCTCTTAGAAATAAAATAAAAATGGAAAATAAATGTGAGGTTAAAAGTATACTAACCCAGAACCACATCCCTCCACACCATCATTCCAAACTCTTGGTGGTTTGTATCTTAAAAATGCTTCATAGATAGACAGGTATGTGTCTCCATTATAAAGCTGGCAAGTGTGCTTTCATAATGCACCTTTTGGAGAAACAGCAAAATTCTACTGAACCCTGTCTGAGTATGGCTTCTGTCTTCAGAAGATGACTGAGTCATGGAGACAAAGTGTGGGCTATTTAGATCTCCTATTTGCACATACTACATGCACTTACATAAACTCTCACATGTTCAAATCTGCTTTTTCCAGGTTCTGTGTCCAAAGCCGTCACTGACCCCCAGCCCAAGCACCCAGCCACACCCCCCACCCCACCACAACCATGGCTGAAGACGCGGACATGCGCAATGAGCTGGAGGAGATGCAGCGAAGGGCTGACCAGCTGGCTGATGAGGTGAGGGTTGGGACATGAAAAAGGAGCAAAATTTGGGTAGCTGAGTAGTTTGTCTTATTCAGGTTCAGGTGGAAAAGATCTTCTAACATCTCAATTTTAAAAACGGAGGAGTATGACTGAATTTCTATACACCTGACACCTCTACAGGCAAGAATGAGTTGATAAACCTACGTACAACTGTCTTAGCCTAAACTCCCAATTTGTAGAAATCTATGTAAGTCAAGATCCTCTAAGAAAAGCAATGTCTTTGGGTGTCCAGAGCTGGCCTAATTCTGAGAGCTGATTGTTACATTTTCCAGCATCTTGCAAGCTGGTATTAAAATTGAATTATATAAATTGATAATTAAGTAGATTATATTAAAAATCAAAGGCAATAAATACTCAAAAGTCATCACTTCTTAATTTTTTCCCTATATTTTCATATTACCTATGCTCTCAAAGTTCTTGACTTGTGTTATATCTGTAGTGTAGGAATACCATGTAACATCATGTTACTGTACATCTTCCCAAGTTCACCTTCAGTGATGCTATGCTGTAGTTAAAAATCAGACAGGTTAAGGGTATTTATATCACAGGAATCTGCAAACACTACAAATAAGGGTTTGACTTACTGTTTTGTTGACTGTCTAGACTTAAGAAAGTGGAGAAAATGTTAATAACATAGATTAAACTTAAAAATGGGCATGTCTCTAGTCATTACTCTTTAATTAACACAAAAAATGGAGAAAATCTTCTAGTAGTTGAAAATTTTTATTCTTTTCAGCAAAGAAGTCACTTGCATCATTGACAAACTAGCGAAGTCCCAACATTTCTCCATTGTTTCACTTTCCTCTTACTCATTAATGCAAATGAAAATATCAACCAACATTCATGTCAGAACTACACTTGTCCTTTGCATGCTTAGCAATGGACACAAGAGTTCAGCAAAACTTAACAAAAGCTTTCTGTGAGACTCAGTTGGCTACATGGAATTTATAATAAAGGGCATTGTGTATTTTATTATCTGTAAATTCTATGTTCTCCATCCCTTATATCAGGAAAATAATAAACTTAAATATACCTATACATATATGTATATTCATATCTGTTTCATATTTGTATTCATCTATTTTAGCATTTACCAACACACCACTGCTTACAGCCATTGTATTTCAACAAGCAGCCTCCCGACAGCTCTTCTAGGAAAGTTAACATTCTTCCCGCTCCTTCAGGATCTTGTCCAAAATAAGTTTGTCACTTAAAAGCAAAGCCTTGAGAAATCACACTGGTTGCTGGAGTCTAGTAGTTTCAAAGGAACTGAGAAAAAAGTGACAATGATGTGCCTGAGGGACCAGTGCTGACTTCAGACTTTCCATCTCACTTTGTCTTATCTAAGGATGAAGATAATTATTATAGCTGTCTCCTACAAGCTAGTTATTTCAAACATGCTTGATTTTTTTTCACCCTAAGGCGACAGCTTAATTTGTATTGATAAGAACTTCCAATTGTGTTTCTAGGAGCTTTATAAGAAACTTGATGTTAGATTCATCTCAATTCATGAGATATTATGTTTGTGTTTAAAATTCAATATTCCTGGTCCAGGGAGGCCAAATTAATCCTCTGAGTATTTGAGATAATTTTTCATGCATCCTGCACATGAAAATTATCTTTTCCAGATTACTTTGTCTTTGATATCAAGATCAGCTTCATATGGTTTTGATTTTAGAAGATCAGCTTTAATGTAATTGCTTTAGGGAATCTTACTATGTAGAAAGACTGATAGGAAAGAGATTGAAAATGTGTTCAGTTACAAACTTAAAAGAATGTGTGATAGTAACCCTTTGTGTTTCTCAAGTGAAGAGAGTAGTTCGGATTTTCCAAGACCTCTGGATCCTGCATTCATAATTTTTTTTTTTTAATCCCAGTCACTGGAAAGCACCCGTCGTATGCTGCAACTGGTTGAAGAGGTAAGGAGCGGCCATATTTCAAGATTAACTAATCCCTTTTGCCGGCATCTTCTTTTCCTAGACCCTACTGCTTTTTCTTAGGCCACAAATCCCATTGGTTCCATTGATTCCATTGTAGCCTATCTGGAATTCACATTAATGAGGGAGATGTCAGGTAGCCATCAGAGGATCCCTCCCCCCTCCCGGCTACCTTTATAGTCTGGGAAGTAGAGAAGGATGGTATTTCCAAGTAAATGTTCCTAAGAAATCACAGAAGACTGAATCACTTTAAGCAAATCTAAAGGCATTACCTACATAAAAACTTCACTTATAATGATTTTGATGCCTCTAAGTCACGTCTAATCTTGACATTCTGTTTTGACTTAGCCACACATACGACTTTTAAAAATACATACCCATAGATACAACATTTTCAGAAATTGTAATATTGAGAGTCAGGCACTAAAATTCATGAAGTAATAGGAAAATTCTTTGATAAAAGGAATTTCAAGGCCATAACGCAAATACAGAAGCTCTTTTATATTCCTGACCCTGGATTGAACATCCATTTGCGAGGCATGGTTAGTGAATCCCAAACTATTTTTAAATGGGCAAAATAGGGCAGATAGCAATAATGGAATCAAAAGGGCATTTACAATAAACCTTGCTCATTCCAATTGGGGAGAGCAGCAGGCAACCAGGAAGAATAAGTGGATTAATTGAACTTGCCCATTGGGAGAGATGAAGTGGAAAAAGAATGGGATGGGCTATATTTATCTTAACTGAATAAAACAAGCCTAATAGTTTTTATTCAGTGAAATGCTGTTTTAGCTATGCTTTGAAACTGCTTATCAATTCATGTGTGGTTATCATTTTTAAGGATCTTGCGTGTTCTTGAGCAGAATGATTAAATGAGCTTACTTGCCTCGCGCTACTGTAAATTGCTTATGCAATGACATGAAAGGAAAATAAGATCAATGTTATAAGGCTAAAAGGAAGTTCGGCTTCCTCTCACGCTAGAAAAGCCAACATCTTCCTTTATTTCTGCAGCTTCAGCTTCTTACCCAGAAATGAAATATTGGCTAAATGTGAATTGCCACAAGAGGAGTGGGGAGAAGGGGGCACCATGAGCTCCCCAGGACACCGGGAAAGGGTGGGAGGTACATTTAATGAAATCTGTTATCACGAAAAATGAGCATTTGAGCCTGCAATGTAGCACAAATTGGCCCCCACAGGAAGACAGGCCAACAAAGGAGCCCTTGGAAGCACAGAAAGCAGTTTTCCCTATCTAAATGGAGAGAAATGTTGTCTTTGCTCTATCCTGGGAACACCCCTTGTGCAGAAATACTTGAGGACCAAGAAGGAAGCAGGTATTCTAAATCTAAGGGTGCTGGCAAGGCTTTCAGAGTTGACTTATTTTCCCTCAACCCAACATGAGAACAAGCAAAAGGAACAAATCCTTTTAACATTCCCACATGAGTTCTTACATTGACCTGAAGGAAACCCACATATCAGCTGACATAATTATGTTATACATCTTTATGACCTTCAGCCATAGCCTCCAGGCTCATTTTTCATTTTCATTTATGTTTGTGCACATGTGAAGTAAATTTCTAAAATACCAGAACTATCACCAGTCTCTCCACCTGTGCAGTGTTGAAACCGTGCTTAGAAAGTGGAAGTGGTAGAGAAAATGCATCAGGGTGCATCACTTTGAACTGGCCCCTCATCCATCGGAGTCTTTGGGCCAATGAATACTTCTTTTTTGCCTCTTCTTAAATTTCAGGCAGTGTCGACCAGTCTTGAGTAAGGTGTGTCTGCTCTAATTTATTCTCCGGGGGGGGAGAAAGTCTCAAAAGCTCTATTGATTGAAGTAGGATACTTGAATCATACATTTTTGTTTCTCCTAAAGGATTTCTTGATCAAGCATGAGGTTGCATCTTAGACAAGGGATGAAACAGATGGAAGCTAGTTCCTACCTCTCATAAATGAGAGGAGGCTATTAGACTTTCTATCCTTGGGAACTTATGAGCAAGGCATGATTAGTGTAGATTGATTGCTCTTACTTACTCCTGGGTTATTTTATATTGATGGTCAAATACCCCTTATGTCTAGGGCATTGGCTATTCAGAGGGTAGTCTGCTTTTCAATCAAAAAAGAAATTCTCTTTAAAGAGAATCAGCATTAAATATTCATCAAGGGCAGAAATTACTTGGCAAATATGAGCACTGAAATACCAGGATCTTGCCCAGGATCCCAAAGTGCATCAGTGCTATATAATTTGAATTGAGCTGAATTCTTACTCAAATTTAGTCTCAAAGACGGGAAAGGTTACTAAACTTGTGAAATCTACCTGAGGCAGACAACCCCACTCTCAGTTCAATATAGGACTTTGTGCCAGCCCTCAGAGACATTAGGGTGTAACACAGTGGCAGGTATAGAAACTTGCTTTTTAATAGAAACCATTATTGGCATCTCAAGGACAATGTAAAGTTACACAGAAGTCAGTTGGGGAAGTTCAGAAAAGCTGGCCATACACAGGCAAAAAGATGAGAAATCATATAGCACTTGGTTCCCAGGCTAGAGTTGCAAACTGGCTCTTTTGATGGCTGCATGTCAACAAACATGTATGGAAGGCCTACCTTTGGGGGTGGGAGGGAAGATATAAATTGGTATCATGCAGGAAAACAGGTATGAAAATAGCTCTCCAAAGTCAAGGCCTTACCTGCCTCTGGAACATGTAATTAATTCTGGTAACAGAATCATGACTGTCTCTCCAAGAAGGGAATATTTGGTTCCAGGCAAAAAATTTGATTCTGTTGACACTGCATGCCAGAAAGGAAGTCTACACATGAATGTCTTGGGCTATGAAAGGTCACCCCAGGAAATGCCCACTGCTTAAGGGCAGACCAGTTCAGAAGCACCACCTAGAGCTTTCACGGAGTGGTAGTTACTGAGGCTCTTTAACACTGCATGGATGTTTTAAGCATCTTTTCTTTTCATCCCAACTTATCTTTCAAGACACCTTGGCAATGAGAAGAGAATAAGCATTCTAAAGCCATGTCTTTGTTATGCCAGACTTTCTACTGGATAACTGAAGCAGGGTAGTTCTTTCCACATAGGTAGATGTGGGGTCTTTTGGAATTCTCGCAGTTAAGAAAGTGCCTGGAGAGTCCTGGTTTTAGCTCGGATGTGTTGGACTTTGGGGAAAACATCTCAGAATGACAAAAGAAAGACTTAAAAAAATGTTCTAGAAGTGGTCTTGGTTCATCTGCAAGAAAGGAAAAAGAAAAAGAAAAAAGAAAGAAATGAAAAAAAAAATCCCTCATATCTCCAACTCTGGTTTTTAGGTAGACCGTTTTCCCAGCAATCTCAAACAGAAACCAACAATTGAGCTAAGACAAAACTGGAACCACCTCCTCTCACTCCTAGCTATTAAAACATAATACTTGTTAAGAAGAAGAGAAAGTAATATTCCGCCTTCCCTGAAATATTGTCTTCATCCCTGCCCTTCTCCTCCCTTGCCTTTCTAGTTTCCCCAAATAAAATCCAGTTATTTTGATAAAAACTGTCAGCAAAACAGTGGAGTCAAATGTAAGTTCTAACATTTATTGAGAACCTACTATGTGCTGGGTACTATACCCAGAGCTATCATCATCAAATGTATGTAATCTAACTTAACCCTTGTAGGTAGACACCTTTTACTATTATTCTGATCTCCGTCTTACCAAGGAGGAAATTGAAGTATGCAGTGATTAAGTAACTTACTTGAAACACCCAGCTACAAATGGCAGAGATGAAACTAAATTAAAACCCAGGTCTACCTGATCCCAGAGTGTGAATTCCTATGCCACAGCACTTTCTTTCCATCAGCAACTCCTATCATACTTCCTTTTTCCTTTGAGAATTCCGCAAAAAGCAAAAGGATCTGAGAAAACAGTAGCCCATTCTAAACTGATCGATATGCTATACAAAGTAAATCCTTTATCTTAATTGCTTTTTGGAACCATAGCCTCCCATAGAGTTGAACTTTTTAAGAAGTTTTTACATTCTGTAGCTCATTTTATCCTTATACATACTCTGGGAAGTGAAGGAGCTGTTTCTGTTCCTGTCTGGGCACAGAAATGGTTAAAACACAGGCCAGTGTAGACAAATGCCCATTTACAACACACTGAAGTAAAAGATTTTGAAATGTGTCTTGGGATCTGGAATCTTACTGCTCCATAGGTATCCTGGCACCAGCAGTATCATTAGATGGTAGAGCTTATTCAGAATGCAAAATCTCAGGCTCTATCTCAATCTTACTGAATCAGGATCCATGTTTCAACAAGATGTTTCCTATGCAGGGGATTCAAATGCACATTAAAGTTTGGGAGGTAGTGGTCTGGAAGCTTCTGATGGTAGTTGGTAATGACGATAATTTTCATTTGCCAAATATCCTGCTATAGATGCATTTTCTGAAGGTATTTATTTTATAAACACTTATGTCATGCTAACTCTAGGCCAGGCACCATTCTAGCATGTGCCGCATACTAATTCATTTAATTCCCATGACAACTCAATGAGGTATTAACTATTATTATTGCTGTCTTACAAATGAGGGAACTGAGGCACAGAGTAATGAAGACATTTCCCTGAGGTTCCACAGCTAGGAAATAAAATCACCAGGATCCCAGGGCAGAGTCTGGCTCCAGAATTTGTGCTGTTGATGACTCCCGAAGTCAACCTAAGCTCTCCAAACTACTTCCTAACCTCACAAATAAATCCTATCAAAATGTGTTCAGAAGTAGCTTGGTTTTTCCTGTCTGGAACATTCTCTGAAATGGTGAGTTTATAAAACTCACAGAAAACATTTTCAGTGTTCTATTTTTTAAAAGCCCTATTGAGTTGTTAAAATACTGTTTAAAAACAAAACAAAAGAAAACAAAACGCTCTGTTGACCTCCACTAACATCCCTCTCTTTCTTTCTTAGTTTGAAATAAGTCAGTGGAGGGGCACCTGGGTGGCTCAGTCATTAAGCGCCTGCCTTCAGCTCAGGTCATGATCCTGGGGTCCTGGGATCGAGCCCGGCATCGGGCTCCTTGCTCCTCGGGAAGCCTGCTTCTCCCTCTCCCACTCCCCCTGCTTGTGTCCCCTCTCTCGCTGTGTCTCTCTCTGTCAAATAAATAAATAAAATCTTAAAAAATAAATAAATAAAATAAGTCAGTGGAAAATAAATGGGGCCACGAGAGATGTCTTCCTTTCGAGTTTATTCTAGGGGACACCATGAGCATCCCTTGAAAAACCAATTAATCCAAACTGTTAGTAATGCCATTTTATACTTATTAACAATCACCCTATAAAATGAAGTCTTTCCTTAACTAGTTTGAATTCCCAGGATTGATGATTTTTAAGGTTGAGCCATACAAATATCTGTGTTCCTTTCCCCTACCCACCAAGTCCCACTCCCCTCCACCAAATAGTTCAGGTGGTGTTTGGTTTGTTTAGATCATGTGGACTGAGATGAGGAGTGCCTTTTCCAGATCTCTGCACAAAAGACGTGCAATAAAGCTTGTGGATGAATTATTTTCTCACATTCTATTATTGTGCAGAATTTTATATTTCAGAATAAAGAGCCTTTATTTCTCATCTGTCCATTGGTTTTCTAAATCTCACAGAACTTTTCCCCGTAGAGAGAAAATGGGAGGGTGAGTTCTGTTTGGGGCTGTATTTCTCAACCTTTGTGAAGCAGTCATCTATTTTGATAAACCTAAAAATCTCACCCACAAAGTTTCTTACTTTCCAGTGGGGCATCCCTTCCCAATTCACTGAGGGAAACTTCTTGATGTATCATGCCAGAGAAGATTTAGTCTAGAAGATTTTGAAAGATTTGCATTCTATGGTTGGTGTTACAGAACCTATAAGGCATTTTTGTTTTGCAAATATAAAACCACAGTATAGTATTAAGTTGTGTATTCCAATTTCATGCCAAGCCTGATCCCCAGCCCTACCCCCATGGAGACTGAGCTACATCTACCTCATCTGCCCTAAGATTCACTGATAGAGCAAATCCACAGGTGACCCCTTAGTGCTCTTGCCCTATTTCCTCCCTCTTTTTCCTTTGGTCCTTCTTCATTTTCCATTTCTAGGGCTAATTGTCCCCTTACTGATTTCTCTTTCTCTCTTTTCTCTCTCTAACTCTTTTTCAACTTTGCTACCACTATTGGAATGTAGAGTAAAGATGCTGGTATCAGGACTTTGGTTATGTTGGATGAACAAGGAGGTAAGTTGAGATTTCTTCAGTAAGCACAATTCCTCATCTGAATAAAGTGCATTTAAAAAAAAATTATTTGTGTATACACAGGTGGTCCTTTCAACATATTTATATGCATATATGAGGGTTCTAGAGTTTTCATTATCTTGCTTTTTTCCCTTTCTCTGTTGAAAAGATTGGTAAATGTATGGGAATGTTGAGGCCTTCATGACTGATTGAATATCACTAATCTCAGTGTTATATATGTTGGAATAACAGAATTTTGAAGGCAAAAGTCATTATTTTTTGGATTTTCTTTTAATGGTAGTATTTTGGACAGTTTGAGAATTCTCTGAACCTCCTTATCCCCAATTTTCCCCATAAACTTTGTTTTCTTGTAATAATCCCTAGATAGAATGAGAGAATAGTACATCACGTCCATTTCTTGTGACCATCCTAATTCAGTATCTGGCAGTTTTGATTTCCAAGTCATCATGAGGATTCCTTTAGTAACTAGGTCCTGTTAGTTATATCTTTAACAGGATATAAGCCGAGGAAGATTATAATTGAAACACTTAAAATATTTAAATTGTTTTTTAATTGTTATGGAAATGCTGAAGCAATGAAAATCAGAGACTCATTGAAAATTATCTCTGTACTCTAAAGTGGAATCTAGAAGGGTAATTTTTTTTGTCTCAATACATCTAGTCGTATGGCAATGCTTATTAATTCTAGCCACAGGGTAACTGGGTGACAGACATTAAGGAGGGCATGTGATGTAATGAGCACTGGGTATTATATAAGGCTAATGAATCACAGACCTGTACCTCTAAAACCAATAATGCATTATATGTTAATTAATTGAATTTTTTAAAAAATAAAGAGAAAAATAATATAATAAAATAATAATAATAATAATTCTAGCCACAAGTTAGCTACCTGATTCTACTCTGAATTCTTATCATAACAAGCAAATTGTTGAGAATTTTTTCTTTATTTATATTTTTGAAAACATTAGAAAATTCTTAGGAATCATGAGAAATTTTTTAATGTCAAAGATAAAAATGTAAAATGTATTCACAACATAGAACACCACAAACAAACTTCAAAAATAAATAAACCTCAGATGGGGTGGGGGGGTGGGAATTGCCATACAGATAACAGGCATAAAGCATTTTCCTAAAATACAAAGAAACCTTGCATATGATCAAAGAAAAGGGCAACAACCTACAAGCAAATTGGTGTAAGATATAAATCATCAGTTTATAAATAGACATAATGAAACCATGCTTCAACCAACAACAATAATGAGATGCCACTCTTTAGCAGACTGATACAAATTTTTAAAATTGATAATCACTAATGCTGTGAGTATTTTGGGAAAATGGAGATCTTCAGTGTACAGATATGCATTATAGACTGATATAAATGTTTGAAGAGTAATTTGATAATATTTTCAAAGTATGAAGTATACCCATCCTTGACCAAGACATTCTACTCCTAGAATTATATGCTGCAGATATACATTGACAACTATATGAAGAGAAATATACATGCCTTACCTTTAAGAGTGTAAAACTGGAAACAGCCTAAATGTCTGTCAGTGGGGAGATTGACCAAATGAATTATGGACTGGCCATAAAAGAAATATTCTTCAACCATTACACTAAATGAGACAAATCTTTACCAACTTCAGATGAGTTAGGGCAGGGAGGGACTAGAAAAGGATATCATTTGGGCTCCTCTGGGAAGCAAATGCTAAGAAGTGTACAAGATCTATTATGGATGCCTGTGATTGGTCAAGGGAAGAGGAGCAGGCATAGGCAGGGAAAGCTGTCGACTGAGGCAGGTCTGACACTTTTTAAGAGGAGAGGAGCAAGGAGGAAGACTCTCACCCTCCAGTGCTGCTCCGAGAAAGTGTCAACCAGCCTGATGGGGAGCCCAGGAGCTAAGAAAACCCAATGGAGCAGGCCCACCGTAGGCAAGGATGCCTCAGCTCTAGTAATTCCATTGTGCTCAGCCATAGCCATGAGCTAGAAGCATCCCAGCGACAGCATGGTCTCCATGGAAATGCTTTGGCAGATCCCATAGGTGTAGCAACTGGACATGTGAGCTAACTACAAATTCCCTCTTGAAGGGAGATCTGAGGGGCACATTGTCATGGCTGTCATATAAACACTTTTGTTTCAGTATTATTTATTTGTATTGAGCTTTGTCAATAGATATATACCAATCAATTAAAAAATCAAGAGAAAAAAGTTTTTTTTAAAAAACAATTGAACATCAACCCTTACACTTCCCCACAATTTTTAAAATATGAATTGTCAAAAATTCAGACACAAATAACCGAGTCTAGTGATGTAGTTGTGTTTTGAAGGAATTATAATAGCTGTGGCAGTCTTCAGAACTCCCCAAATAAATTTGCTATAGTTGTAAGGGTTGCTGGCTTGATCTGTGTCACAATGTCCCAGAATTTGAAACTCTGAACATGGCAAATCATCTTTTTAAAATTAACCCACAGGTGCTCATGTAGAAGAGTGGTACCTCATTTCCAGAGTTAAACTGATACATACACAATTAAATAATTAGGAGTTCCACCTTATTAACTCTCTTAGTAATTTGCATGTGAAGGGGGTAGAAAAGGGAGAATGATAATTGGAGGAAAGTTTTGAGAAAGATTCAAGGTAATGCTTTCTTCCCAATACTATAAAGCATTGACATAAAGACTTGGAAAGTAATCTATACAAATCTGGAATCAAAAAAAGAGAAAGTGAATAATATGCTTACTTGAGTTGCAAATTTCATTGCACTTTGATAAAGAAAATCTCGAGACAAAATTTGCCAGAATCTCCATACAAAAATATATTCTTTTTAAGCGCAAATGATTCTCAGGAACATCTATATGTCATTCTCTGAGAAAGGAAGCAGAAGAGCAGATTTTTTTCTCCCACAAGATAGTTAATGTTCTCTGCTAAAACATTTCATTTGTGGCCACACCACAGTAGATGCTGAATCCCTCAGTTAAACATATTTCCTAGACTAGCCTTGGTTTTACCAGATGTGTGGTGATCACAGTGATACTGAGAAAAAACACACAACTGTAAAACTCCCCAGAGTGTGTGGCTTCTGCCTGGTCTTAAGTGGTACATGTTCCATTTATACTATAAGGTGATTAGGACCTTTTAAAATGACATATAAGCATAAGTTAACAACTATCTTCATTGCCGTGGTAAATGCATTTTCATCCTGTATATGCTGTGTTTAGTTGTTTAGATCAGTAACTGCTTTAAAATTTCTCTCCAGTTATGCTCTCCTAATTTTGTCTATGCCTCAACACCAAAAATGTTGATTGCTTCTATCCTGCAGCTGCACAGGAGTTTCAAGAAACAGACATCCTTCTAAAGAGCCATTCCAGGTTGTCCAGCTAAATGGTTGCACTTGAAAATTCTTTACGGGATTCTTGTTTTATACCCAGGTATCAGGAGACACCAAGGAGCATTGAGCATGACAGATGGCCCTGGAAATGTACTGAGTCCTTTTGTTGGTCTTTGCTGGGTTATGTGTTTGTTTCAATACTGAAGATGCAGCCCTTGGGCAAATCCCATGGGATCAACTTCAAACTAAACAGTGAAATCTTTGACCTCTGCCTGACAGAGGAAGGGCAGAAATAAGGCCTCTTCCAGATTGCCTGCTGACTTTCTTAAAAGTTTCATGGCACTACAAGGTAGCATTTGAGAAAACATTCCTCTTGCTAAAGTCTGCACACCAATATCTGTTATGGATGACTAAAGCTGCACTGTCCAGTGTGATAGCCACTAGTCACAAGTGGCTATGTAAATTTAGGTAATGAATTTCCATATGTTCATCAATGCTAAGGATAATGAAAATCACATAGGCAGCATCTGGTAACTGACTATACTCATGAAGGCTTATACAACAGGGTCAATAACTTTGACATCTTGCTATTCTTCTACTGTCCATTTTTTTTTAACCAGTTTGGGGATTCTAAGGGCCTCATGTCACCTTGCTTAAGTAAGATTAGTAGAAAAAAAATGTCTAACTTAGATCCCTGAGTATCCTGCCATTGGTGGATCTATCATAAATAACCAGTCATCCAAACATGGCAAAAGAAAGTATAATCCCTTGGCCCCAACATATAGTGTCATCTACTGGAATACCTCTCCTAACTCAAAATGTTATTGTCCTCCCAAGTCTCCAAGAATAGACAGAAAACAGCCAGAAAGCAAGCCTAGGGAGGTAAGGAGTGGTCAGCTATGGACAGTACATTGCACCAGCCAGTGAGATGCTGCTAGCCCCCCAGGATGAAATAAAGATATTGGTTATTTTCAAGCATTTCCTGAGAGATGTCTTCACAGAAATCCATTGAAAAGTTATGAAGTATCAATATGCCAAACACCCACAAACCTAACACAGTACCCTCCAAAGATGAATAGTTTAGAATACCGATGACAAAATGGTTCCACAATATTTTTTTAAATTAAAGGTTTGGCCTATAATTATGTGAAATGATAAATTCAACCAATATTGGAAGCTATAAAATCATTTTCTGAATCGACTTTTCTGAAAGAGCTTCAGCATCCCTCTCTTAGCTATGACCTTTGCCTAATAGTCTGGCAACCCGTGATAGAACCCAGCTCGAAGAAATACCGACTGGGACCAGCTTGTTTGTTTTTATATTTTAATTTGAATTCACTGGTTCAGAAACACAACACTTGGGGACCAATCCACGTTTTTATTTTATTACATTTTATTTTTATTACCTCCTAATCCCTGGGGCCACAGTGGGTGGGGCTCCTGAAATGTTGTCAGAGAAACTCTTCAAGAAAAGACAAATGCCTGAATATGTATCCCCATGCCATAATCTGTGTGTATTTCAGCTTTCATTAGTGGAGTGCGACATATTTTCCCTGAGTCCAGATGCTCCTTCAATTCCACCTCCACCCAGCACTCCAGGAAGCAATTATTCCATTGGGATTTCTGTCTGTACTTAACATGGCTCTTCCTTTTGACAATGTTGAGCTCCTTCTCTATCAATCCCCCATTCAATAGTTAATTTTATTTGCAAGCTAATGTGTTACATTCTTTAAAGGGAACTGGAAAGAAGTCTTCATAAAAGCACAAAAATCTTCTGGAATGTAAAGACTTGCCATCTTTTTTTTTTTTTTAGTCCTTTTAAAGATTTTCTTAAAGACGTTACTAGACCTATGCTTACCCAGCAGAAGTTCACCAGCACAACAGTGTTTCTCTCCCCAGCTATCCAATGCTGGAGAGACACTTAAATTTTGCCTTCATCTATCATTTGCAGAGCAGGCACAGGTAGCAGATTCCCAACAAGCTGGATTCTATTGTTTAGCCCCGTTAAAGAGAACACAGTGGGCTCTTGTTTTCCAGATAGACAATCTCTTATTGGGTCAGTAAGGAACCTATCTTAGTTTTTTGGACTGATAATTTCCACTGGACAATTTAACGTGAAATTCTAAGTGATTATGTCTGCCTTTAGACTGGAAATGGATTTATCAGTTTTATTCTAATCAAGACTTTATTCCCAGAGGCACAGGCAGGTGTGCACAGAAATGCAGATGAAAAGAGAGATGCAAGTGTAATTAGGTTTTATAACTCGACAGCCAAGACATCACATTGCTGCTTTCCTTTAAGGGTCTTAAAAGCTGTTTTAAGAAACCCCTTCATTGAACTTGTAATTTACTCAATGTGGTGCCGTAACTTTTGAAAAATGAATCTAGTTAGTGAATGTAACCCAGGCAACCTAGAAGCACGAGCTGGTTTTATGGCTATTGATCTACGTCTCAGATGCACTCAGATTGGCTTTGCTGGCAGAGATGACTCGGTAACTGTTCTGTGGTCCAGCCCATCACCCCACCTTCAGAGACCCATGTGTTTGTTTTCCCTGCTGTCTGCCATTGGGATCTAGCATGCCCCCCATTGTAGAGACTGGGAAATCAGGGGGCAGAGAAGTGAAATGCCTTCCAGAACTTTCATAGCAAGTAAGTCATAGGATGAAGAGAGGAATTTAAATGTCCCAGTGCTTGGAACATGACTCTGCTGATGTTGTTGTTTTTTTTTTTTTTTTTTTTTTGAACAGTGCCTATGAATTAAGTATTCAAAACCAAGAACTGCCCCTGGGCTAAGGAACAGCCCGCTGCTAGGGGGGAGAAAAAAATAGATCTGGTACCCATTGCTAATTATCCCTTTAACTGTTGATATTTTCCCCAGAGAAGATTGATTCTATCTGCTACCCTTACCTGGTCGAGGATGCTTAAAACCAAAAGATAGAGATATTTAAAGTTGAAGCAGTTACCTTCTCTAGTAGCATGAAATCTGAATTCTTAAAACATTAACACCCTGTTTTTCTTTCTTTTGGGTTTCACTGGTGTCTGAGTAAGTGAATAGGCTGTGCTGTTTTCCTGGACACTCAGAATCCAACAGGCCCACGTACCCCATCCCATTGTGTCTGAATTACAAATGATTTTGAGCATCATTTTTGTTCGTTTCCTTCCACCTGTGCCTGTGTAGGGCGGTAGCAGTCTCCAGCAATGCATCCTCTGGGACCATGCATTGTAATATCTTTCTCTTTCAAATTCTGTTCCACATAGTCATTTCTCATGTTCTGTTGGAAACCCCCAAAAAATTCATTCCACACTGTCATCCCTTTGTCCTAACCAGAACAACTCGATCGTGTCGAAGAAGGCATGAACCATATCAACCAAGACATGAAGGAGGCCGAGAAAAATTTAAAAGATTTAGGGAAATGCTGTGGCCTTTTCATATGTCCTTGTAACAAGTAGGTACTGGGTACCAGCTCTAATCTGTGGCGTCCAGTTTTCTTTCTTTTCTTCTTTCTTTTGATTTTTTTTCTTTTTTAATGTCAAAGTGAATGTCTGAAGTTTTGTCTTTTTTTTCTTTGTCCTTTTCCATCTGCTTCATTCTGTGGGGATAAAATACTTGTGTTTAATCAGAACAACTGGAACGCATTGAGGAAGGGATGGACCAAATCAATAAGGACATGAAAGAAGCAGAAAAGAATTTGACGGACCTAGGAAAATTCTGCGGGCTTTGTGTGTGTCCCTGTAACAAGTAGGTGCTGCCTGCCTGCCTGAAGCTTTGGTTTCCCAAGGCCCATCTCCAAGCCTTGACAAGCTCATTCCTGCCAAGCACAAAGGCAGGATGAGCATGTGGCATGCAGAACAGATCAATACCGTCTCCAATGCATTCATCTCATAGCATAGATGATATAGTGGGAGTTACTGTTGATGCATTAAAAATCAGGCATACTACAGTGAAAGCTTCACTGTCAGCAATTTTTATTGATGAACATTTCAACATTTTCCAGAAAGTGTACCTTGAGACAGAGACAAGCCTCAAGAAAGAGGCACCCAGGCAATTTTATTTTCCTGCAACCCAAAAAGCCAAAATTGTAGAGCTAGAAAAGATTGGAGGGTAAGTTTGGAAGTTGAGAAACACAAAGGTTTGATTTTCCAGAAGCAAAAGAGACAGGTAATTTGGCCTAAGCAAGCATCTGTAACACAGAGAATATGACAGAGATTGCCCCACCAGTTGCCAAATCTGCCCAGCGATTAGACTATAGATGCCCCAGCTGCACCCACCGCAGAGGCCGTAAGCCCTTCAGCAAGAGGTGCTCAAGCCTTACTCAAATTGGACCCATCCCTGTGAAATTCTTCCTCTTGGAAGATCTATCTGTACACTGACTAAAATGTTGAAATGTGTAGATTTTGCATGCACGACATCACAAAACTTTCAACTGTTTTCAAGGTTCTGCAACGCTTTCTTTGGAATGTAGCAGAAATGTGACATGTGGTTATAAAGGTTTGCAACAGAAGGAACCTGAAAATGAGGGTTCTGGAAGATAGTCTTATTTGATTAGCAGTGGAAAAAAAATGCATGAGTGGACTGTCCAACATGCATTTGGAAAATTAAACCCGTTACCCGATCTCCCTCACCCCTCCCACTTCCCTTTGAACAGAAGCCTTTTTCCTAAAAGCTCTCCTGATCCTAGCTTTTAGAACAGCAATTGATGTCATTTCTAGCTGATTATATGACCATTCACATCCTTTAAACTTTGAGGCTGTTTTAAAATATCCCACTTCCTGTTTAGGAGGGGGAGGGGCTCGATTTACAGATAAATTTAAAACTTTTAAAAGAATGATCTACAGTAAAGCCTGATTAACTGGAATCTAGCTAACTGGTACTCTCAAATGTATTTATACCTTTGCTTCTTTCCACTTTTAGTAAAAAGGGACAGTTGAACAAAGGGGTGGGGGATCACATCAGGGACTTAAAATGGTTTTTCTTGAAGGGCAATCTAGGCAGTTCGCATTCTGTCACTCAGGCTACATTTTCCTATGTAACTTCCACACCTAAGGGAACCAAACAATAAGAGTTGATCTTCAAAGGAAAGGCCATCAGGCACATCAAGTGAAACCATAACCAAGGAAAAATTCGGTCATGTTCACTACCCTAAGACTCTAAGGCAGGAAAGTGCCTTGAGAATCTAACAGATATTTAACAATCACCCCTGAAACAAAGTTTTCCTCCATGGCCCACTGTTAATGAACAAAGTCACATCATTCACCAAAATGACTCATGGCTACGCATTCCAGTTAGTCAAGACTTAACTGTATATCCTTTTCCGTGGCCACTTGCCCCCCAGGTGAGATTTCCACTTGTTTGGGTGATGAATTCCAACAGATACAATTTCCCCATTCATCAACTGTGTGGAGAAGGTGTGGAGGCAGGCCCCGCCCCGAGATGGATTCTAATGTTCAGATGAAATGATGGCCCCTACGAATTCCACATAGTAGTTGGCACAAGAGACCCTAACTGAGCTTCAAAGCTTGAGTGAAGTGTTCCCTATTGTGTGTAAATAATGCTTTAAAAACCATGTGTCACAACGCAGTGGCTGGTGGTGCCCTGGACTCTCTGAGGGCTTCGCCCTGTCTCGGCATGTTTCAAAGGATTATGGTAGATGTACGGCAGTTCTGTGAGTCTATGTGCAGCATTGTGGGTGCAGTGATTCGCCTTCTTTCAGAAACGCAAACTTTCCTACCCCCTTGACTTTGCCAAAGATGGTATACCAGATATTTTACATAGCAGAAAACCTCACGAGGTCCATATAACTTCTTGTAATGTGAGGAGGGAGGGAACGGGGAGTCGGAAAGAAAACAAAGCCAGACTCTAAGCTCTATTAAATTAGTTTTTGGATCCTGTCCCACGGAGTGGGCCCATGGCTCTTTAGCGCAGTAAATTCTGACAGCTCCGAGGGCTGTGGCATTATACACTAGATTGTGGGAATTGCTGAAATTCCATTTGTACAGTTTTCCAGCTTATTCCAGGGTTGCTTGGTCCCCTCTGAAAATATTAGTATTAGAGCCAGTTTTAATAGATGGCTGCGATCCTCCAGTACAAGAAAAAAAAGGGGGGGGGGTGTAAATTCTGGTGTCTTATAAGAGAAAATATGAAAATGGGACCACAGGAAGTTCTCTTGTTTTTGGACTAAAAAGCATGTGGTTTCTACTATGCAAAGAACCTAAAAACATCTTTGATTGCCTTAAATTACAACACACCCACCAAAATATGCTGCACATGTTTCTTTTGGGCACAATAGGTATGCCTGGATTTTAAGTTTCTCTCCAAGGCAGATCAGTGAAATACAGCCCATGGAGACCACACCAGTTCCAGACCACTCTCCCCTGCCACATCCCAGGATAGCTTGAAGTAGGAGTTTGTAATCACTCCCACCCTGCCCCCCAGCCTGACAAAGAAGCTATTGAACCTGCGTTTCAAATCCTCATGAAGGCTATTACTGTCCTGCTAGTGCCTTTTTCGAGAATGGTCAACTTCTGGAGTAGTTTGGCTTAAATGAGAATGCTTCACTTTCTACTCATGCCTGTAGCTGGTGCATGAAGAAGACATAGAGGGATTTCCTTTTCTGGTGCTAGATGGCTTGTTCTCTCTTCTATTTTCCTGCATTCATTTCACTATGCCTCTTTTACTTTTTGTCTCTGTGGACAAAGGTTTGTACATCGACTAGATGTATGGTGACTGTTTGGAAGTACCGATATATTATCTAATTCAAATCACTCTCGAGGCAACTCAAAGACCACCACCCTTGGCCAACTGCCAGTGCTTTGTGTCCTTCATGCAGAGTTGGAAGGGTTAGTCCCACACATGCGTTGGGGGGAAAATTAAAACAGGGAATCTTTGCATGATGGTGTGTAAAAACTCGGTCGAGTATGTTTTTCTTGGTGACAGTGTGTTGCTGTGGTGTGATGTACACACTCTACTTGGCAGTCTTGTTATGTGTCTGTCTGCCAGTATGTTTTTCTGTGTGTTTTGTGTCTCAAAATATAACCATGTCACTGAAATAGAACTGAATGTCCTCCAGCTACCTTAATCCTTGTCTTAAATCCAACTAAACTGCAAAGACAAACCAAAAGAAGAACAACCTTTGGGCAAAGGTTGCAGTCTTGACAATTGCAATTGGCTCGATTGGAAATGCAATGCTGAGTAGCTGAGGCATGGTGGTGGCCAACTGTTTGGGTCCAGATCATGATATATCGGTATTCTCTAATGCCTCGAATTAAAACCCATTTGCTTGGTTCGGTTCTTCGCTTGAAGAGGTGACCATTGTTGTGAGCTTGATGCTCCACCCCCTTGCCTTGTCACTCACCCTCTTTTTTGCATAGGCTTAAATCAAGCGATGCTTACAAAAAAGCCTGGGGCAATAATCAGGACGGAGTGGTGGCCAGCCAGCCTGCTCGTGTGGTGGACGAACGGGAGCAGATGGCCATCAGTGGAGGCTTCATTCGGAGGTGAGCCTCCTGCAGCCAGCCCTGTAGCAGTCGGCCATTGTTAAGTAACGAATCACCCCAAGCTGAGTGGGTCTTAAAGCAACAACCATTTTACTGGTTACTTATGAATGTGTATGTGTCTGGGCAGTTCTGCCAAGAGCCCCTCCTGGGCTCCCTCATTCCGTGCAGGTGGGTGCACGATGGCCCTAGATGGTCTCAGTCACTCGGCTCGTGGTTGGTTAGGACAGGGTGCCTCCACTCTCCCCCGTGCTGACCCTCCAGCGAAGAGCCCTGGCTTCTTACATGGTGGTGGCAGCATTCCAAGGGGGCAGGCTCCAGTGCACAAGCACTTATCAAGCCTTGTCGGGTTTGCCAGAGTTTCAGCAGACAAAGCGAGTCACGTGACCATATCCAGCCTCAATGCGGCAGCAAACAGGTGTCTCATTCCCTAAATGGAATTGAACAGAACTTATTAAAGAGATTGTTTACAGAGATGTGGGCCGGATTAATAACAAGCGATGGTAAAGCATTGGTGGACTAGCAATTGCAGGAAGAGTCCTGAAGGGATGGGAGCTGTTATCAGAACCTGACGGTAGTTACCACTGTGGGGGAGGGGCTATAGAGAAATGCCGCTGTTGCAAAACTAGCAGGAAATGAGAAAGGGAAATAAATGCCTCCATTCCTCTTTCCTCTTGCCCTCCGATATCTCACGGGCCATCTGCCAAAGCCTACTGGAAGTCGGAGGGTTAAGAGAATCTGGGTGATGCCTTTGTAGAGAGGTCAGCGTCTCTGGGCAGAGAGCAAAACATGTCGGAGAATGGACCTGGGGGGACAAATAGAGAATAACAAGCATACCTGACTTCTGATTTCCGGTGAGACCTGGAAGCAAAAGCCAATTTAAAGACCTATTTAAAAATCTCAAATTACACAGATCTGCCTATCCAGAAATCAGCTCTCAGGAGACCAGAAAACAGAGTAAATAATGACAAGTATTCCTGTTGTTAAAAAGAAAAGAAAAAAAAAAAACACCTATCCCTTTTTACAGGCTACTGCTAGGACTCAGCAGTGACTAGGGTACCTAATGACTAGAGTAGTGTAGAGATGGTTGTACAACTATATATTACTGGGCCATTGTAGCTGATGTTACCAACCAATAACCCACGTTCAAATGACAATGACCTGTATAAGGTCTAGATAGCTACATAAAGCCTCACAGATGACAATTCTATTCTTGTTTCTGTCTGCTCCCAGGGAAACTAGACCAGGGATTCTCAATCCTGGCTGCACATTTGAATGACCTGAGGCTGTTTTTTAAAAACATCACTACTGAGGGGCGCCTGGGTGGCTCAGTCAATTAAATGTCTGCCTTTGGCTCAGGTCGTAATCCTGGGATCCAGGGGTCCTGGGGTGGGGCCCTGCGTTGGGCTCCCTGCTTAGGCGGCAGTCTGTTTCTCCCTCTCTCTGTTCTTCCTCCTGCTCACATGCTCGTTCTCACTCTCTCTCAAGTAAATACATACATACATACATACATACATAAAATCTTAAAAAAAAAGTGAGACCCAGCCATCTGTGGTTCTTAAAGCTTTTCAGGTGATTCTAATATACAATCAGCATCGAGAATCCTGGAACCAGAAGTATGCCTTAGCTGTTGATAATCATTTAAATAAGTTTCTTTTTTATGTAAGAAAGCTAGGAAGTTCCCCCTTTAATTTCTGCTGGCCTAGGCTGCTTTAAAAACCTTTGTGGGCTAGTCTACACTGGGGGTGACCCTGGGGAATGGGTTTTAACCCCTCTGAACATGTTTAGCTCAATGTCTAAATGTAAAATGTTAATTAGCCAGAACATCCCAGAATGAGTACCTACCATTTGCAATAAAGAGTTACTACCTTCTTAACTTTCAAGCTGAGCTGTGAAAAAAAATGGCCAGGTGGTAAGGCACTTCGAGAGCCAACTCCTTCCTTCCCAAACTGGAACAATAATCTTTTATCACAATTTTTCCCCTGAAATCACCCATTCACAATGCCACCAACCCCCACCCCCAGTGCAATGAAATCTGAGCAAATAGAAATCATCTTGAATAAGTAGCTCCCTTTGAGGTTCTTAGGAGCCAGCGGGATTAAGGGACAGATTGTATTATCCTTACTCTTCCCATGGATTTTGGTCCCAAATGGGGAAGAAGATGGAGCAGAGAAATTCTCTGACTTAACACAATAAGCCTTTTCTTTCATTCTCAATTTAACTCTTGGAGACTTTAGTTGACATTTCAGAAAGAAAAATACAGTTTCTAACTAGTTCCATCTTCATTCTCTGACCCAATCCTCTCAACTAAAATGATTTTATTCTTAAAAAATGAAAATTGGGATAAACATATGAACATAGGGAGGAAATGACGTGCTGGTGGAAATGAAAGAAGTAAATAAATTAATCTATTTAATATGCCTTCTTTAAAAAAGAAACCCAAATGTTCAAAAATGAAATTTAAAAATTATTTTCTAGGGACACCTGGGTGGCTCAGTCAATTAAGGATTTGACTCAATTTCAGCTTGGGTCTTGATCTCAGGGTCATGAGTTCAAGCCCGGCATTGAGATCCATGCTGGGTGTGGAGCCTACTTAAAAAAAAAATAAAATAAAATAAAAAAATAAATAAATAAATAAATAAATAAATAATAAATAAATAAATAAATAAATAAATAAATAAAAATTATTTTCTAATGTATAAAAGCTAAAATGTACTCATTGAACAGAGACTAAAGATGCATGGGATTGATACCTAGGGGGTCTCCAGACTTTCCCTGAGCTTTGGGTCCTTGGTATGTGACTTTTTTTCACACTTTCTATCTTCTAATAATTGCATTTTGAATCCCAGGGTAACAAACGATGCCCGAGAAAATGAAATGGATGAAAACCTGGAGCAGGTGAGCGGTATCATTGGAAACCTCCGTCACATGGCCCTGGATATGGGCAATGAGATCGATACACAGAATCGCCAGATCGACAGGATCATGGAGAAGGTAAGTTTATGGCAGTCAGCAAGCTTCTATTGTTCATTACTTCTTCTGAGATACCACTGAGGAAGGATGAATGGCATAATAAGCCCCTCAAACTGTGACACGGGATTCAGGCATACTGATAGATGGAAATTTCCCCCTTAATTTTCCAAGACAAAAATTCACCAGCATATAAGTAAATAAGAGAGTAGAATTTAATCTAGCAGCTATTCCTCAGAGACACCTGTTTCAGGATCCAAAAGCCATAAAGATGAGAAAGACATCATCCCTACTGCTATGAAACTCACAGCCTATGGGAGGCAGTGAGCCTCCAGCTGAATTTACTACCACACAAAATATAATTTGCCAAGAGAGCCACACATAAAATGCTAATAAGTAGGGTTAGATGAGGAAAGATTTCAAGAGTTAAGTGATGGGAAAATCTCCAAAAAAGCCAAATTGAGTCTTGAAGGTTGGTTAGGAGCTTGTCAAGAGATGGTGTAGGAATAGAATCAGGAAATAAAGGAAAGAATACTTATTTTAGTTTACTGAGAAGATGAATATGAGCTTTGATTTTATAAATGCCAAAGCTTTAATGATAGTTCAAAAAAGCCCAGATTCCATTTCCAGTTCAACAGTTCACATGTCCAGATCTCAAAATAGAAAGCATAATCTGATGAAGCTGAGTTCACACAAGGACACCAGATGTGGCTCTAAGACAAAACCCCCTGGTGTCAACAAGAGGCCTAAGGAAAAGTGAAGAGAACAGAATGGGAAGGATGGGTTTAGGGCCTTGAGATTGGAAGGGAACAGAAAGAAACACTGGATAACCTTTATAAAAAGATTTGGGGCACCAAAACCTGATATTCCACACTACAAATCTGACACACTTTCTATGATCTTATATTCTGCCCCCTCCCCGATCAGTAGAGTCCTGAATATTGCTTATCATCTCTTAAGATATCAAAATGCCAACAGGAAGAAATGATACATTATAAGTTTAATGGTAATTGTGCATCTATAATCAATTCTAGTTGGCAATCTTACATTGTATGAGTTTATTCCTGAGCTATATTCAGCTCAAGCTGTATATATGCAGCTCATATAGCTGTATGAGCTATATTCAAAGAGAGATATTGAAGTTTAGAGCCTGAAACCCTGAGTTTCTTTTTAACAATTCATTCCACTTTAGTGAGCAGAGAAGGATGCTTTGAATCCTAAGGCTAAACACTGAGTTTCTTGGAAACCAAGCATCCTCCACTGACCTGAAAAAGGAAAGAGTAGACATAAAGGGAACGCTTTGCCCTATTGTGCTCTATGTGCTCCCTATTAAAAATATCTGATTGCATAATATTTTGCCTGATCAATATTGAGTTACACAAATGTCAATGTTGGTTGGCAAAAGGCTTGTGCTTTGCTTACTTTTACAAGTCATGACATACTTATCATTGTTAAGAGCCTTTGATATGCTAAAGCTTTTAAAGCTGCACAAATCAATAGATTTTAGAACAATATTGAGAGTTTCAAGAGCACTGGAGCCAACACAAGCTGACCTAACCCATTATGGCCCAGAAAAATGAGCTAAGAAACAATTGCCGAACCACCTTCCAACAGGAAAATGATTTGAAAAAACAAGAAGTACTCATTTTCTGTCAATGGACCCAATTTACTCACAGATGTAGGGAGATAATGTACCTCTAATTTAATTAGATTTCCAGAAGTAGTACTTTTACTAAGAGAGAGGGGTCAAATCTTTATTGATAGAGTAGGACTTTCAGCACCAAAAAGTGTTCTTGGAAAGGCAAGTGGCATCTTAATTCTGCCACTTTTCATTTCTAGTTCTCTTCTCTAGGGAAAACCTTTCATTTTGGGCCCAATTTACTAAAGGGCAAAAACGTATGCAGCCATGATGTGTAATTGGAGTCAGGCAAGTGGATGGGAAATAGCCGTTATGGTTTGTATCATTCTTTAAGTGCTGAATTGTTTAAGAAGTGAGAGAGGGGTCTAGTTGCCTTTGAATAACTAGCCTTTATCTTAGCTCCAAAATCAGAATCTGAACATGATTAGAGAGAGTCCATTTCAACCCAGCATCGCCACAAATGATACATGTTATATGAGCTGCACAGTTTTTAACAGATTTCCACCTGTCTCATGTTAAGTTCTCACTTCTGATCATAGGAAACAGTATTCAAAGGTCTCTTGCATATCTAAGAGTAAATTAAACTCACAGTCTAAGAATACAAAGAATCTTGGGGCACATGGGTGGCTCAGTCGGTTGAGCATCCAACTCTTGGTTTCAGCTCAGGTCATGATCTCAGGGTTCTAGGATTGAGCCCGCATCAGGCTCCATGCTCAGCACAGAGTCTAGTTGGGATTCTCTCTCTCTCTCTCTCTCTCTCTGCCCCTTCTCCTCCTCACACTCTCTCTCTCAAATAAATAAATGAAATCTTAAAAAATAAAACGAATAAAGGGAATCTTCTGATGTTTCTCCCATATTCTCCCATGGCCCCCAACAACAACCTTTACCCTACCCCATCAATCATGGTCCTCTCTCATCACTTGGATTGATTGTAAAGTTTTGGAAGTCCAAAACAATGTAATTTTTAATACATCCCCATGGACTGTCAAGAAATTACTTTGTCTATTTAAAAACTTTGCTTTCTGCTTTAAGGTATATATATATATATACAGTCTTCTAAGGTTGAAATGGTACAATTCTTTCAGAAAACTAGAATGGGGCAAGTTGTATTAGCTTCTTTATGTTGTTCAGGAAGTAGTAATGTTCAAACTTCAATTTAAAGTTGTCAGTGGTAGATGCCACACACACGTTGAAATACAGTGAGGCTGAAGCTTTAACATTCCTTTGAATTCTCCTATCAATGAGGAAACACAGCATTTGAAAACTAAGACCTTGAGTTCCAGTGGCATTTCCTTGCTCACCAGCTTCCTGACCTGATTTCTTCATCTGAAAGATAATAAGGGAACAGTTCAAACCTTGGATGAGAACAGGGCTACCATGTAGGGTAATAAGCATCCACTTCTGGAATTCTGAGCAGGGGCCTAAAAGCTACCTGCCATGGTCTGAAGTTGAGATTTCCAGAGTGTGCAGAAGGGTGGGCTAATGATCTCCTTCTAACTCTCTTAGTGGCTCTGTGGGAATCATCCTTGCTTTCTCACAAGGGCAAATCATGTGGCATATCTTGGGTATGCCAGTGAGCTTAAGATTCTCTAAATAGAAATATGAAAACTGGGGTGGGCTATATTCCATAAACACAGTCCTAAAGCATATAAAAGAATGAACACAGAGGCCTTCTCCAAATACCAGGGAGACATCTAAAAGGAGATTACCTCAGGATTTGTTCCTAAAAGATGCTATTTCTGTTATATAATAAAGATATAGTACCTATTGCATAAGGTATATGGGCTTGAATTTTGATATGCTTCAGAGAAAATTTAGGTAGAAATCACAGATCTTCAGTGAACATAGGTCTGCTTTGGATTCTTTGACGATGTCCAGAGAATAACCTCATGCTCTACTTCAAAATATCCCCTTTCACCATCAGGTGAATGCTCACCAGTATATTCTTAATGCAAGAGTTTCTAGATTGCTTGCTTCCAGACATGCCATCCATTTTTAAATTAATGATTTCCCCCATTTGCGTTTTCCTTAGTATTCAGTCTGAAAAAATAGCATAATTCAATCTGCAGAAACATTTCACATTGCTCTGAGCCTAGAATTTTCCTTTGCACCAAAGTATCATTATTTCTGGTAGAATTTATAGCTAAAGAGAGGAGATTTAAGAGCCAAGTAAAATTGGAGAGAATACCTATTTTCTAAATCAGGGACCTAAGGTCCAAAATATGAATCTATAGATCAAAACAATCAAGGAAAATTAATGCTCTATCTTAACTTGTTTTGAAAGTCAACTTTTGATTATCCAAACAGATGGTAGGAAACCATTGCCAGATAATTCAGAATAATGAATAATCTAGCAATATTTCTATTTTAACTTGGCAAATTTCTAGTTGAATATAGATAACTCTAAATGTGCTGGGAATTCACAATTAAACTAAATAAAGAAGATCCAGTTTGGTGGAGATTGGAAAGTACCAAGCACCATAGAAGATGCAAAATCAGTAATCATTGAACAAATACAGGTCGATAAAAAAGCAGTTCAGTTTCCCTACACTGCCTCTCAGCTTTGTGTTCCTCTTTCCAGGCTAGAGAGGACAGACATCATCACCAATCATGATAAGACAAAACAACAGCCTAAACAGAATCTTCATCTTTGCCTCTTGCTTGCTCACTCATACCTTTCTCAGTGGTGTTGGGAATAGTTCATTTTCTGGGTTTTAAAAGTCTATCCTGGTAGCAACTCTGGGTTTCATGCTGCATATACAGCAAAAGGTAATTGAAGCAGTGAGATCAGTCAAGGCACAAAATTATGGTAAAAGTGCTCTTGTTAAAACAAGCCAAAGATAAGGGGCACCTGGCTAGCTCAGTCAGTAGAGCATGTGGCTCTTGATCTTGGGGTCATGAGTTCAAACCCCCAGTTGGGTGTGGAGCCTACTTAATAAATAAATAAACAAACAAACAAACAAACAAACATGCCATTGTCAAACTCCATGGGAGTGAGTCTTCAAAAATGGAACTTAAAATTATTAAACATCCCGAAAACAAGTCAGATTTTCACCCAGTAACAATAATTGCAAGATAAAATATATTGAGCACTTAATCTTTGCAAAAAATTATTCCAAGCACATTTTATGTACAAACTCATTTCATTTTCACAGCAGACCTAAGTACTATAATGATTAACATGATGATTACTAGTGTGGATTCTGACTCCAGGCTGCCTGATTTCCTCATTTGGAAAAATGAATTAATAATAATATACTCCTCATAGTTAATATCAATCTTGATGTCAAGGTTGAATGAACTGGATATAATAGACATTCATGCTTGTTAGCAGGATTCTTTTTTGTCCCAGCTTCGAGACAAGAAAGCCAAGGCCCCAAGATGTTGTGTAATTGGCCCGAAGTGACACTGGTTAGCCATGATTTGAACCTAACTGTATAAGTGGTGGTAATTAAACTCAATCCACAGATGTGAATGCCTTTCATAACATCACTGGGTGTCATTCCAGGATAGAAAGATAAGTGATGTAACCCTGTCCTCAAAAGGATGCACTCTGGTAGGGTGAAACAGTCATGAGTACTAAGATGGAGCTTCTATGATCATGTCCAAGTAGAACCACAAGCAATGGTTCTGGGATCACAAAAGAAGAGAGGGTCAATTCTGACAGGAGAAGTTTCAAGATGCCTTCACTCAAGAAGGGGGCATTTGAATAGACACAGAAGGAAGAACAGAATGTTCAAAGGTAACCTGAGTTTTGTTTTCTTCCCCCTTTTCTAGGCTGATTCCAACAAAACCAGAATTGATGAGGCCAACCAACGTGCAACAAAGATGCTGGGGAGTGGTTAAATGTGCCCACCTGTGTTCTCTTTCAAATGCTGTTGGGCAAGATAGCACCTTCGTGCTTTTCTCATTGTATTACCTAGTAGGTCTGCACACATACACACATCAGTCCACCCCCATTGTGAATGTTGTCTTGTATCGTTCATCAGCTTCCCCAAACTATTATGTGTCTTTTGTTCTTCCTGAGTCTCTTTCTTTCCAAAGGTTGTATATAGTAGTCATTTGGTGGCTCTAACTCCCTACATAAGATGTCTTGGGTTTCATTTTTCCTTTTCTCTCCTCAGTGGTGTTTGCTGAATGACAACAATTTAGGAATGCTCAACGTGCTGTTGATTCTTTCAATACACAGTATTGTTCTTGTAAAACTGTGACATTCCACAGAGCTACTGCCACTCTCCTTTCTTTGAGTGTCAGGTTCTGAAACTCTCAAAATTTGCTGTCCTTGGTTCCTCATGGTTGTCGTCTGTCTTTATGATTTCATGATTAGACAATGTGGAATTACATTACAGGCATTGCACTAAAAGTGATGTGATTTATGCATTTATGCATGAGAACTAAATAGATTTTTAGATTCCTACTTAAACAAAATCTTTCCATGACAGTAGCATACTGATGAGAAAAAACATACACACACAACAGAAACAACGAAACAACAACAAAGCATGCTCAGTATTGAGACACTGTCAAGATTAAGTTCTACCAGCAAAACTGAAGTAGTGTCACTTTCTTTCTGTCAATATATAGACTTACTAACCATGATCATCCTTTTTAAAAAAAAAGAATTTAAAAAAAAGATGGATTTGACACACTCACCATTTAATCATTTCCAGCAAAATAGACGTTTGGCTGAACTATGTCAAATGAATGTAATATAGGATTTGTTTGCTGCTTTTGAAGGCTATGTTTTGGAGAAAGCAATCTTGCTGTGAAACAGTGTGGAGATGTAAATTTTATAAGGCTGACTCTTATTAATCACCATTTCCCCCTGTGGTTTGTTATCAGTACAATTCTCTGTTGCTTAATCTAGAGCTATGCACACCAAATTGCTGATATTTAGTAGCTGATAAAGAAATCTTTAAAAAATAATATAAATGAATGAAATATAGATAAACTGTGAAATAGATATCATTACAGCATGTAATATTAAATTCCTCCTGTCTCCTCTGTCGGTTTGTGAAGTGATTGACATTTTGTAGCTAGTTTAAAATTATTAAAAATTATAGACCCCAGATGTCTGCTTTAATTTCTTTATGGACTCCGTCTGATTTTGCACTCACATGAGAAGAGGAAGCCTGGCCACTCCATCCCATTGCTCCTCAGAAGCCAGTTCTGTGCGCTGAGAACACTGTGTGGAAAAAACAAAGATGAACATTTTAGACACAATTCCAATGGCAGGTGACACTTGGCTTGATTTTTATCATCTGTTTCAGAAATATTTGTGTGTGGATTCAGTGTTGGCTATGGGAGAAAAGACATTTTTCCAGAAGATAAAAGAAAACGTCTATGGAAAAAATCTGTGCTACTCAGACTTGACCCTACCTAGATTTAGGTATATCAGGTATCAATCAACTCTTCCTTCCTCTCCCCAAAATCCAGTCCCACCAGCAAAAGTGAACCCTCCACAACCACACCACTGCTGCCCTCACTTTTTTTTAACAGCTTTATTGACATACCATACAATTCACCCATTTAAAGTATATAATTGAATGGTTTTCAGTATACTCACAGATTTGCGCAATCAAATTTTAGAATATTTCTAACACCCCCAAAAATAAACCCCATACCAATTAGCAGTCACTCCCATCCCACTTCCACCAGCCATAGGCAACTATTAATTTATGTCTGTCTATAGATTTGCCTATTTGAACATTTCATATAAATGGAATTATACAGGACGTGATGGCTTTGTGTCTGGCTTCTTTTACTTAGCATAATGTTTTCAAGGTCCATCCATCTTGTAGCATATAACAGAACTTCATTCCCTTTTATGGCTAAATAATGTCCATGGTGTGGATACCACATTTTGTTTATCTGTTCATCCATTGATGGACATTTGGATGGTTTCCACTCTCTGGCTATTATGAGTTATGCTGCTGTGAACATTCATGTGCAAGTTTTTGTGTAGACCTGTTTTCAATTCTTTTGACATCACCATTTTTGCCATCACTGCCTCTGTCACTACTAAGCCAACACTTCCCCCACCATCATCTCCACCAGCACCTGTACCAGCCTTACCTCCACCACTGCTACTAATGCCTTCATTACCACCACCTTCCCCTCTCCTCTTCCTCTGCCACCTCTCCCTCCTCTTACCTAATATCTTCAGCATCTCCATCTTTATCACTGCCATCTTCCCAGTCACCAGCATCACCTCCATCCCCTGCCACCACCACCAATGCCCTCAACTTCACCTCCTCTACCACCTTCACCATCACCACCATCACCTCCCTCACCACCACATTCACTAACACCACCATCACCTCCCTAACCTCCATCTCCTTCTCTGTCTCCTTCTTCTATCCCATAATAGCGATACAGATGAATTTGTCCTGGTTGCCTTGGCTGGCCACCAGATAATTTCATCCCCAAAAGCAGTTATGGAGGTTTGCTACAGAAGTTAAGGAGTGGAAATGGGGATGACAAACGTCATTCTCAATAACTGTTTGCAGTTCTTCACCCTCTTCCCAAGCCTCAGAATCAGTTCTAGATATACCCAGATGCTCAGGGAAGTTATTCTGAGGAACAACTATAACAATACATTTCTTCTTGAAAGAGTAGTAGAGAGCATGCTAGAAGACGGAGAAAGTGGATAAATATGCTACATATGTCAAAGTTGCTAAGGGGTCAACATATGGGTCATATTAGAAAATTCTCTCCCAAATTCCATCTCCTCTCAGTGAGGTGTGTTTCCACATTGTATGAGTAATTAAAACTCCATACTGGATACATGATAATCGAGATACAAGCATTTTGCTTTAAGGCTCACCACATAATTCATTCTGAAACCCATTTCCTTGGATAATTGAGTTTGTCCAGCCTCAACTCTTCTGCAGTCAGTTCCTTTTGGCTAAAAGAAGACATATTCCCTGGGAATGAATCAGCTCTGGGTAGGAACCAACTCAGGAAGTACATTAGAAATATAACGATTGGGGAAAGGCTAAATCTTCGGCCCGCCTCATCCATGGCCCTTCTACAAACAACCAGAAAGTGAAAGGTGGTCCCAGGTCCTAGGAGCAGAGTCCTTTTCTCTTGCCTGCCTCTCCATTTCTAGTTTCAGTTTTCCTTCTTTCACATCCTCCCTCAGCATCTCCTTTGACCAACCTTCCCGATCTTTGTGTCACTGATTGGCCAGACAATTGATGACTGCACTTGAAATTAAGAGAAAAGGAAGAAGACTCATACTTGGTGATCATCTACTACATGCCAGGTACTGTGTTAAGTGCCTTATTTATGTTGACTCAGTTAAACTCTCCTAAAAATGCTACAAAGTGGGGATTATTAGCCCATTGTGCAGAAGAAGAAATTAATAGTTTATTTGAACAAGACCTCTCAGCTAATAAGTAATGTAGGTGTGATTCAAACCAGATGTGTACTTCCAAAGCTATAGGGAAGCCTGGAAGATAAATCCAGGATTGTGCCTCTCTCAGTTCAAGCAGCCAGGAAACTCCAGGAGATATTTGGCTTCACAAAGAGCAGCAAAGACAAATGTACTGGATTTCTTAGCCAAAAGTCTGAGTGACCCTTTGATTCATTCTTTCATTCATTCATGAAATATTTATTGAGCTTCTACGCCAGGCCCTGCTCTGAGTATTGGGAGTACATGGGGCAGGGGGAGGGGAAGAGGCAGCAGAGGGAACAGGGAAAATTCTCAAGCATTCATTGAATTTATATTCAAGCTGGGGGAGATAGATAAACCAACAAGTCAAAAATGAAGTATATTAGATAGTACGTGTCACACAGAAATGTAAGCAATGAAGGGGAAAAAGAGTGCAGAAAGTGGACAGGGTATTATTTAAGATAGAATGATTGGGGAAGACCTCACAGATAAGTGAAGTTTAAGTAGAGAATTCTTCAAGGCTTGGAGTAAACAAAGTGATATGTCCAGAGTGAATTCCTTTAAGAAGCAGGGGTTGGGAATGAGAAAACAAACGTACAAACTATATCTTATCATTTAGTAATCCTGGAGTTCCTCCTTGGCAACTCAGTCAACACCAGTTTTAACTATTTCCCAGACTGTCCAGAAGAAACTTGCAAACTCCTTGGCTCAGAGAAGAAGGATGCAAGTCCACAAGATGAAACAAACAGTGTGCAAGGAATGATCAAGTTAAATTGTCTTAGGGGAGGAGAAAGTGTTGACTTCAAGGTCCAAGATTTAGGAATTCTTGCTCTGGGTGCTCTTCATACAATCACTGACATACTAGTTTACCTTCAAGCAAGTTAGTCATATATCTCAAGTTCTCCATCTAGGATTTGGAAACTCAAATCTATCTCCTAGAATGTAGGAGACTTTGGAGAACAAGGAAATTAAAGAAAAGTAAACCATTAACAAGTCAGTTAACCCCAATGCCCGCAGCTATTTCCAGGATGAGTTGCCAAAGCTCCAGGTATCTAACTATTCCAGAGTCCCAATCTCAGGTGATGTTTCCCACACACCATCTCACCATCCTTAGCTCCTCCAGCCTCTTGCCATAATACAGCTTCAAAACCATTCTGTTCAGGGGGCTTCCTGCCTTAAGTTCATGATACTGTCTCCACAAGCAACTCAGAAAAATGTGGCCCATCGTCCTTCTACTAGACACTGCTAGTGCTGTGCCCATATCCTCTTGAGCACTTACCTCTACTCACAAAATGCCGTTTGCAGTGAAGAACACTGCAAATTCTCTGTCTTGGGACAGAGAACACCAGAACTGCTAAAGTTTTAATGCCCTGGGAAGCAGTCCTTAACCAAGGGTGGATGGGGATTGATGAGTAGATAGATGCCCAGTTTCCTTGGCCCCAGTTTGGGGTAGCTCTGAGCTGTGTGTTCTACACTGTCTGCCAGAGCTCCCCCAGCAGAATCAATCTCCAGTTCCTCACACGGTACCTTGCCTGGTACTTATCACTATTTATTGGCTGTCTTTTCTTCTCTCTTTCCCACCTCATTATTTGTGTTTCCTGGAATCTCTTCTCAAATAAACTACTTCCCCTGAAATCCTTGTCTCAGGGTCTGCTTCTGGGAAAGCCTTACCTCAGACAATACATTCTCATGAGATCCATGCCAGCTTCTGAGCATCTCCCCCAAGACACTGCTGTAGAGAAATGTGCTCTAAATTTTTCACCACTGAAGTCTAACCAGTCTTTCTAATGTCTATCCAAAGGTCATTAAAGTCAAGAGCATTAATACTGCTTTTGCCATTTCTCATGTCCAAAATAGGAATTATTCCCAAATGAGTTTACCCTCTACAGTTCTACTAATA